TTTTTGCAGCAGCAGGAAGCAAAAGTTCAAGGACTACTGGCTTTCCCTCAGCTCAGCGAGCGTTTCTCGCTCCCGTGTCTTTCTTTTCCACTCTCCTTTCCGCTAAGTACTCGGTGGATTTGTCTGCTAGTTGTTTTTGCGACAACTGTCAGCTGAGATAAGAAATATACCACCAACCTCTAGTTCGGTCGAAAGTTTCGAATTTGCTGGGGGAAGGGGGACAGGCTTGTTCCTTTTCAACGTTCCCTTTCTCTTCTTGAAAATTAGTGGGGGAGGGTTAAAACCTGCCCGGAGGGTGGGGTGGGGTGGGGTGGAGAGAGGGACAGGGAAGAAGAAAGTTTCTGATCTCTTTCCCAAAGCCTGCTTCAAGGCTTTCCTTTCACCTCTCCTGTAATTACTGGCGCTTTAACTCCCTGTATAAAATGTGAGACAATGGTAGCGACTTGGGTGTTTTAAACCCACCGCTCCCATCACCACGCCTAACCGCCAAGGACCCACCCGCAGTTCCTGAGCCTGGCTCCAGACGTGCGAGGAGCAGCTGATCTTGTTTCCTCCCTCTTCGCCCGCCGACATGCGTGCCATCCCTTCCCCCTCCTCTTCCTTATTTGACGGATCACTTCATCAGAAATGAAGATTCCCCTTCAAGAGAGACGGTTTCACTCAAGCCACCCCGCCAGACTAGGGACGCCCATCCCATCCCGACATACCCCCCCCCTTCCCTTTTCACCTTGGCTGCCAAGGCGAGCTCCCCCCCTTCCCTCTCTGCTCCCCTCTCCCTCCCTCGCCCCCGTTTTAATCCCGCGATTGTCCCAGCGTGAGTGACATTGACTTTCCTAATATAATGACTTATGAAAGATATAATCATGTGTTAAATTGAATCCTCCGTTTAACTGTTAATGGTGTGCTCTGGGCACATTTACGTATTAGATGCTATGGTAACTAATTACCAGTAGAAAAAAAAGATAATACACTTTGCAGACTTTGACAAATAATTATGAGTGTTCACATCCCTGCTAGCAGTCAGTTGCGGCGGATCTGCTGGAATGAGTAAGTGAATAAATGAAAGGATGGGTAAGTGAACTTGTGTGCGCGGAAGGGGTGAGATAATGACTAGCGGTCAAGTGATTTTTCTTATTAAAAATCGTTAATGAAAAAGTGATTTAGGATGGGGGCGGAGGAGAAAGAGAAGAGAATGTGTGGAAACTGCCTCTAAATGTAATTAAAAAGAGAGCAGCAAAGGCCAAAACATATTTATTTTAATTTTAAACATTGTTGAAAGGAATTAAGCAGGTGCTAAAAAGTTTGCAGAATAGGCAGAGTCGGTTCTACCCTCTCCATGGGAAAAACGAGATGCGTGGAGGGATGTTCGCGCTTCTTAAAGGAGTTCTTTAACAGCTGGGCCGTTTCTGTAGCCATAACTTTACTTTAAACGACCTTCTAACCAAACAGACGAGACTCGGTGACTCTTCGAGGGTCTTTCTGTAAATAATGAAACGTCTCTGGAGTTAAGATTACTGTATTTTTGAACATTAAGGAAGAAAGAACGGTTGGAGGCAATGCGGTGATTTTATTTTATTTTATTAAAAAATTAATATAATCACTTCCCACATTTCTGAGTGTGGCCAAATCCTCATGATT